ACATTAAAAAATTAAACAAAATTGATCACCACCAAACCAGTTATAGGATGACGCTGTACTGCACTGGTGACAGCAAGAAAAAAAAAAAAAGTGAGAAAAAAAATTTTAGTTTCCAAAATAATTGCGACACACAAAAATTACAACTTCAAAAAACTCGCCATGCATCTTACTAAATGCTTTGGACTGTCTACTTCACAAAAAAAGGTATGTGGGGGATATTTTTACTGTTCTGGCATGAGATACAAACTTGATCAATTTCCAGATATATATTGACCATAGTTTGTGGTAACGTTCCTAAAGACTAAATAATGTACATTGATATGGGTTATTTTTGCCAAAGAAATGCAGCAGAATACATTTTGGCCTAAATTTACAAAGAAAGATTTACTGGTAAAATATTATAAAAACATAAAAACGAAGAAAAACATTTAGCAAAAAATAAAAAACAGTGGTGATTAAATACCACCAAAAGAAAGCCCTATTTGTGTGGGAAAAAAATAATAAAAATTATATTTGTGTACAGTATTGCATGACCAAAAAAATTGTCAAAGCGTGACAGCGCTGAATGCTGGTCTGAACAAGAAGGGGCTGAAAGTGTCCAGTATTGACGTGGTTAAAGTCTTTGCAATTTTACGTTGAGGATCACGATTCTGAAAATTGGTTGAAAATATTTAGGGCAGCTTTTCACAGACTGGTGAACCTCTGCCCATCTATACTTCTGAGACACTCTGACTCTCCAAGTTTTTTGTTGTCCTGTCCAAAATTTTCAAAGATGTGTTGCTGCCATTAATTTCAAAATTACATAATTTTTATTCTTAAAAATGGTGTATTTCCTCATGTTAAACATTTGATATGTTTTCTATGTTCAACTGTAAATAAAATATGAGTTTATGATATTTATAAAAATTGCATTCTGTTTTCATGTAGAATTTGCACAGCATCCCAACTTTTGTGGAACTGTGAATGTAGTGAGCTGCAAACAAAATTGAAAAAAACCAGAATAAAAGAAAAGGAACACTCATGCGCTTCTCAATAAATTAGAATATCAAAAAGTTAATTTCAGTAATTCAATTCAAAAGTGAAACGCAGATATTCTATAGATTCATTACACACAGAGTGATATATTTCAAGCATTTCTTTATTTTAATTTGGATGATTATGGCTTACAGCTAGTGAATACCCAAAATTCAGTATCTCAGAAAATTAGAATATTGAGAAAAAAGTTGAATACTGTTGACTCTGGAGAGTGCAAAATCAGACTCACTTCTGCATAGAAACCAATCAGCTTCCAGGTTTCATTGCCAAAGCTTCATTGAACAAGCTGAGGTTAGAAGCTGATTGGTTTCTATGCAGAAGAGAGTCTGATTTTGGACTCTCCAGCTTTAGTAAATAAACCCCCTGGTGTCACACTCTAATCAACAAATTAACGCAAAACACCTGTAAAGGTTTCCTGAGCCTTAAATGGGATCTCAGTCTGGTTCAGTGGTTACACAATCATGGGGAAGACCGCTGACTTGACAGTTGACCGGGAGACAGTCATTGACACCCTCCACAAGGAGGGTAAGTCACAAAGGGGGATTGCTAAAGAAGCTGGCTGTTCACAGAGTGCTGTACCCAAGCATATTATTGGTGAGTTGAGTGGAAGGAAAGGGTGGTAGAAAAAGATGCAAAAGCAACAGGGATGACCACAGCCTTGAGAGGATTGTGAAGCAAAGTACATTCAAGAATTTGAGGATATTCACAAGGAGTGGACTACGGCTGGTGTGAGTGCTTCAAGAGCCACCACACAGATGCATCCAGGACATGGGCTACAAAAGTCATACAGAAAAAACATCAGAAGTGTATTACCTGGGCCAAGGAGGAAAAAAAAGGACTGGACTGTTGCTGAGTGGTCCAAAGTAAAATTTGCATTTCATTTGGAAATATGAGTTGCACTTTTTGAATTGAATTACTGAAATAAATTAACTTTTTTGATATTAGAAACACCTTGCTAGTATCGGTTTGTACCCCTTTTGCCTTCAGAACTGCCTCAATTCTTGGTGGCATAGATTCAACAGTGTTGGTTACATTCCTCAGAGATTTTGGTCCATCTTGACATGAGTTACTGTTGCCATCTATCTATCATCTCAAACCAGCCTGCCCATTTTTCTCTGACCTCAACAAGGCATTTTCATCCACACAACCACAGCTCACTGGATATTTTCTCTTTTTCCGACCATTCTCTGTAAACCCTAAAGATGGTTGTGCATTTAAATCCCAGTACACCAGCAGTTTTTGAAATACTCAGACCAGGCCATCTGGCACCAACAACCATGCCATGTTCAAAATCACTTATATCCCCTTTCTTCCCCATTCTGATGCTTGGCTTGAACTTCACCGTGTCTAGATGCCTGAATGCATTGAGTTGCTGTCATGTGATTGGCTGATTAGCAATTTAACAGGTGTACCTAATACCAAACACACCTTCATCCCCATGGATTATGTGCTGGACATAATTGTACTCCTCACCTACTCTACTATCTAAATCATTAAAGGAGAAGTCAAAAATAATAAATGCACTTTTTTTTGCAGGTTTTGCAGGTTAAAAAAATGTGCATTTATTATTTTTGTCTACAGGAGCCTGGAAAGCATTGCACCAGAGATCAGTAGATCGCTTATGCCATGCATGTCTCCTGCAGACCTGTCAGAATATCTTCTTCCCATACAGGATGTACGATCAAGCAGATATTCTGACAGGAATATTCACTGAACTCCCACGGTGCTCCACAGCGCTGTGGTAGCTCATTGAAAACCGATAGCTGCTAAAGATGTCCGTGAATAAATGTGTTCGTGCAGGTGTTTCAAGTTTGACAGATGGTATGGGGAGACGTCTGTCAGCGGGGGTGGGTAAATCGACGAGGGGGGTGGTGGTGTGGGTTGGGGGGTATGGGGGAAAAAATGGGTGGACCATGTAACACGTTCCCAAAAGGTGAACTTATCCTTTAAAGGAGAAGTATTGCCAAAGCTTTTTCTTTGGGTGTCCTTTTATGGATCACAGAATTGCAGTTCGTTCCACGCTCCAGTGACCCATTTTCAGCCAACAGCAGGCTAAAGTCTGCTGCCAGGTGAGGTCACAGAGCCGGTCCAGGTTCTGAAAAGATCCTGACCATATGGTCGGGATCCACCCATATGCCTGGACTGGCACCTGGCACAGCCTCTCCACAGCCAGCCCTCCCTCCAAAACTCAGCATTCCAGTGAGCACGAGAAGGGCAGAGCAGAGAGCCAGAGATTGACAGTCACGGATGGGGAGAACTGAATGATCGCAGCGTTTTATCTCTCAGCTCACTGTACAGAGTTACCAGGGGATCAAAGTTGCATCCACCTAGGTGAATAAATACATTTTTATAAGCCCATACCTCTCAAAGTTTTTATTTTACCCACTTTATTATTTTTTTTAGTCTGTGCCCCCCCCCCAACAACCATAAAGGGAAAAAGAGGTTTACACGGCTTTTAGGAATTCTGGGATATGTATGCCCCATATAACTGGATGCTTTACTTTTCAATCATACTGGCTGAAGGAGGGTGGGCCGGATGCACATCATCAGGGGAATGGGATACGTAAAAAACAGGAATGATGACAGCAACAAAGATGACAGCGTGGAACCTACTGAGTATATGAACTGAGGAAAACTATGGTAAGGAAGGAGTTGAGGAAATAAATAAAAAAAAAAAAAAAAAACACGATATATCTATAATCTATCTATATCATAGAGGGGTTAGAAAAAAAATGAAAACAGGATTTGCAGGTATGAAAGACATGTTTTGTGCTGAAAGCAGAAGTGATGTGACATTCTTTTGCTTTCACTATGTGATGAGAAACCTAGCTAACAGGTAGGAAGCCACACTTTCCTCATTCACTGCGTGCTAGTAATCTCAGTCTTCACGGGACTGAGATTGAGCTCTGCAGTCACTTTTGTAGCAGACATTTTATTATTTCGGTTCACAAACCTAAGCCATGTCCTTTTGTCCATTTCAGTCAGCTGACCATATTGACCACGCTTATGCGCATCAGACGTTTTCCCAGAAACTGTATATGCCGTCACAATTGGCAACTTCAGTTACAGAGGTACCAGCTAAGCGGGCACCAACTGTTTGCCCTCTCTGAAGAGCTCAGCAAGTTCTGACATGCCTCCGTATAATTAGCAGCAATAGGGGTATAATTCCTGCAGCGGCATGTGTGTACACCCTCGGCTGCTGCCTTTGCAAGTAAAAGGGGTATAGAACCGCAGTTCAGTTGGGTTTTACCACCCCTCTTCTCAAAATCTCATGTGTGAGCGAACCCTAAGGGTGCCACCGTCTAATGCAACTAAAAGCTTATTTACAAGTGCAACAGGCACTGCTACTCCTCATTGAAAAGCTATCCAAGCATGTTTGACAGGTTTTGAGGAGGCAGAATGTATAGCTGCCACGCAATGCACGCAATTGCAGTGCGGTAGTATAACAATTACAGGATTACAATTAAATCAGGCGGTGGGGAGGTGATATTAGGCAACACTGTGCCCAGTAATCTTTGACTCCAACCATGTTGTTCAAGTAGATCTCCCTAAGGTTGCCTACCCTTGGTGTATAGAGTGTGTATAACTGCTTTTTTCATGGATAATCGGCTGGATGGCAGATAAATAATTATGTTTCAGGCAGAATCTGAATTTTAATTTATATTAGGTGTAGCAACAAATGTGGGAGTCACCAATCCTCAAAATCCTTCTCCTATGATCAGTGTTGTCAGACAACTAGGCAGGTGGGCAAGCCTATTTAAAACTGCAGCTAAGCAACCACACTACGGATTTTTATTTGGAGACAAGTGCTATGTGCACAAGATTTCCTGGGGGTTTAACAAGCTCTCTTTTCTTGGTGATAGTTCTTATTTAGTTCTAAATATAAAGACTTTGTGCTTGTGTTATTACTGGACATTAGCATGTAAGCTCCACTGAAATCTGATGTAAACGCATTTAGTACACACCTCCCCCATGGATTTCTCCTTTATGTTCTTCAGCTTCAGGATTTTCTTGAAGGCCATGGTCAGTATCGCCCCTCGAAGCCGTGAACCAGTTCGATAATTCAACGCCCAAGTAAGTGCCAGGGACCACGAACGCACGACTTCCGTCATCAGGAGCCCAAAAACTAGGAGCAAGCTGTATGTGAGGTCTGTATCACTTTGCTGAGTATATTCCAAGAGGCTTTTCACTACGAATGCCTACAGGGAAAAAGGCAGATGGCATGAGGTCCTTCTCCACTTCTACTGCATGGTATTGGCAAGTTTTATGTTAAGTTAGAAAACTGCTAGTGTTCTGTGCATGACTCGGTAAAACCAGGAAGCATTCAGGCAAACGTGTAACATGTTTTGTGATATGCTGATCTATGTCCAGTGATAGGAAAAGGAAAACAATACTGCTCTAAATTAAAGCAGATGAAGATCAGATAAGGATTAGCTGTAATTTTATTACACAAGTGCCTCAGAACTTAAAATATTCTAACTCAACATAATCTTGCTCAGGCCAACAAGCCAAAAATAATAGTCTTATAAAAAAATAAATAATAATGCATTAAAAACAAACAAATAAAGAAAAACTTTAATGCAAATACTTCATATATTTTGCTTTCAACGTGCGCATTGGATAGTAATGAACATTTGTACCTACAGTTGTACGGGGAAGAGAAGGACATTTTGGCAAAAAATTCCTGAAAATAAATATCAGCAGTTTATTAACACAGAAAAACAAAAAAGAAAAGAAAAAAAATAAAAAAGAAAAGAAAGAAAAAAAAAACAAAACAAACAAAAAACCAAGCATTGTAAACAAATTCAGTACGCTCATTACTTAGAGGCTTACCCAGGAAACATGTATTTTCTTCGAATAAAGCAAAGGTCTCACTGGTTCATATTCCAGCCGGAGTTTTCAAACTGCTCTTGCCTATTTCTGTAATTTTTCTTTATTTTAAATAAAGCCATTACATTTAAACTATTTCAGAACTATGATAAAAAAAATCTGGTCATATTAACTACTGTTCGGTATAAAAAAACTATGAATTGAGGAAAAAACAAAATTTTATTAGGGGGGGGTGGGGTGTATTCCACTACACAAAGAAATTAACAATGGCACAAGTTTTCTATAACAGACTTTCAGAAACATACAGTTCAGATATAAAAGCAAGCACATAACATACATATCACAGCAGCATTTTAACAATCATTCCACAATTCCATTGAAACAGTTTAAGACGTTAAAGAGCGGAAACCCTATCTATAGCAATATAATCTTACAGTGCTTATATTCGGATTCCTCTCAGAAGAGAAATGATAAAAGTAGGCATTATCAACGTGGCATCGAAGATTCAACCCAAGATTAGAATGATAAACAGCTTTGAGTCTCTTCTAGTCCTTGAGTATCAGTCTGTAGAAGTGAGCCAAGCAATCAGCTGGTAGGCTGCTGGCACAGATTAGAAGCTTTTGGAACATATGCCATCAGTAGGTACAGGAAGAACCTGAGGTTACGCATTACCCAGCCTGCCTTTCCTGATTTTTTTTTTATTTTTTAAATTTTTTTTTTACAGGATGAGTCCGATGAGTCCATGTCCTCAGAGGCTTCCCCAGCCACCCATGATGGGGTAACTCTTTCAGATCATGACTATATTGGGGGAAAGCAGCACTTGGGAAGGCAGACAATTTGCACGTGATTGCTTGTTTGGAAAGGCAACACTGGAATACCTGCTAGTATGGAATTTTGTCAGTCGGAAGATGCATCAGCCTACTTAACACTTGAGTGAATAAAAAATAAATAATAAATAAAAAAAAAAACAAAAGAAAAAATACATTACAGAAACAAAGCAAAAAACAACTGAAGACCTGCATCTAGAGACCTTGCACAAGGGCTGAGAGAGGTAGCTTCTTGTAGTCAGGCAGTAACTTGAGCAAGGTTACAGTTGTCCTATCATATTACAATAAGAGGCTAATCAGCATTCAAGCCTATCAATGCTTGCCAGGTGAACAAAAACAAAATGAATTATGGTAAGCAAATAATGAAAGCACTGTTAAGAGTTAATGAGAAAATCTTTGCAGATTAATGTTACCACAGGCATAAGCTTCTTGTGGTTGTAAGCATTCCCGTGGAATAAACAGGACCTTACCTTAATCTTGCACCGCGCAGGTTTCTGCCCAAGTTGCCCGGCTCAATCTGGCAGCAGAACTGTCACCCTGGAAATTCTAAAGAATAGCTTCTGTCATTGGTTCCACTACAGAGGTTACGTTAGTAATGATCCCTCTCCCACCCAACCAGAAGTCCAGTGTCTCACCTTGAAACTAGCAGAAGCTGGACAAATAACAAGCATGTACAACCAAATTCATTCATGTTTTGCTATCGCCTAACAGTCTTCTACAGCTTGCATAAAATAAAAATAAAAAAAAGGAAAAAAAAAATAGAAAAAAAAGGAAAAGAAAAAAAAAAACAAACAAAAAAAAAAAAAAAAACCATAACATTGTGCCAGTATGTCATTTTTAAAAAGGTAGGTATATTTTTTCAGGATTTTTGCACAACTACACAGTAAATGTGCAAAAATCCTTTAGCTTCTCCCCTTTCCTTATATTAAATGTCTTATATATGTTTAAAATCAATTATGGACTGCAATTATGACACTGGGTAGAGAGTTCACATGTGCCTAAATTTATAGATTTAAGACACTTCATGGTAACAAAACAAATGTACGTTCATATATAAAACAGTAAACTCACAAGACTCTACACATCTTTATCATGCATAAAGTATGAGTTTCTAGCAGCCAACAGAAACATAAAAGACAAAAACTGTAACTTAACGTTATAAATTAATGACAAAATACTAAAAAACAAAGCACACAGACAAATAACCAAGGCAAGAGATCACATTTTTGTTGCACAAAGTTTAAAACCTTACAAACCAAAACCTTTAACCCCTCAAAGTCATTTCTGGATCCCAAAGTAACTTTGGCAAATATACTAGGTATGAGCACACACATTCACCAAGGGTACTGGACAACATTTGTTGAAACTAACTGAAGAATTAAGTGTACCGGGTCTTGCTAGTCGATAGCAAAACCTGCTAACAAAAAACTGCAAGGAAGCTAGCCTTGTGCCTATGTTGGCAGCATCGACAAAGCATTATGAATCTGTTAAAACAGCTTTGAGGGTTGGAGAACCGTTCCTGAAACAGAATTAATCTATATGGCCCTTTAGTCTACCTAAAACTTTGGAAATGCATGGAGAAAAAAAAAAAAAAAAAACACTATCACATCTATTAGAATATACTCACTGCTTGCTTTATTGTTAACTTTGACAAATCTTAGCACAAAACAATGGTGAGTTAGTTACAAACTCATGCAAACTTAGAAGAGCCACCATCTTGCCGGTATGCTGAACTAATAAAACAGATCACACAATGGTCAGTTACATTTCAGGATTAAAATCACATCAAAGCTACCCAATGAAAGAGCACTAAGGAAAAATCATGAACGTATAGCAATCAACCCTTTCCTTTCTCGTAACAAAACAAACTGCATGCTGTCTAACTAGCTCTATAACTCATCAAGGTGTCAGTCTATCGGAGGAAAATCTTAATTTTTATTAAACTTTATAGATTAAGTGCCAGCCTACACCCTTAAAAACAAAGCATTTACAATCAAAACAGAGCAGAAACTGCATTCGTAATATTTAGTCGCATGTGATCTTGAGTAAAGAGCCCAGGGAGATAAGCACAGCTCAACTAATAGACTTACTACATTTTTCTACCAATATGCAGCTAATCTGACTGTTTAACAAAATACAGTTAAAATCTTGGAGCACCCGCCACCTATGTAGTGTAACAATGACAGAAGCTCTTCTTAATAAAGTTTGATGGTTAAGGATTTGAATATCCCCAACTAGGACATTAACTAAATCATCAGACTCAACATGCCCTAACAGGAGCACGCCAATGATTCTTCTAAAACAATACAATTATACAGAAACTGGAAGAGCCACTTAAAACGATTAAGAATGAAAATTAAAAATAAATAAATAAATAAATAAAAAAAAAAACCAAAAAAAAAAAACAAAACAAAATCCATTATGCTACAACTTATGATTCATTTTATAAGAGCCCCATATGTACTTACCAACTCACTGCAACTTCATCTTTAAACAGCACACTGAAAATTAGTACTAAAAGCAGTGAAATTGTTCTACACTCTTATACAAACCAGCATAAAGTAACATTTTTATATATCTTTTTTACTAAGGTGGAAAGAAATTAATACTAAATGTGGGAAAAAATTAATACTAATGCATGCGCATGTGGTATATGCCCCATGATTGCATAAAAATCACTTTTGCCATTCAGTAGAAATAAGGCAAAATATGTGCCAGAAGCTGCAATAACTTATGCCCCCTCCAATCAAACATATGGCTTCAAATGATCCAATCCTGTCTATTCTGGACTACATTAATCGCTAACAGAATCATAATCAGCAAGCTAAGACAATTATTCTAAAAGGGAATTATAAACTGTTTACATGAAAAAAAAAACAAAAAAAAAACAGTAAGGTAACTGTACAGACCTAAACTTAACTTTTAAAATGCATTAAAAAAAAAAAAGAAAAAGAAAAGAAACAAAAACCAGCCCTTGGGACAGCAGTACCGGTGGGCACATGAAACAGGATGGAAAGTACTTACTGGACCAATGAAGCCAGCCAGCTGGGTAAGCATCAGGCACATGATGGAGATAATTAGCCTGGTGCGGCAGAATTTCCACACAACAGTTCGAAGAGAAGCCTCCTCTGCACTTTGCTCCTTCAGTTCCTCAAGCCACAGTTTCTCCAAGCTGTGTGGAGCAAATTTACAAGTCACTCAGATGCATACTAACTGCGCAACAACAACATTTCAGCACACTAGTTTACACAATAAAAACCAATACTGTTATCAATAGTTGTTGTACAATCAAATTAAACCTTACTACTACATCCCCTAACATCACCTAAAGATCAAAAGGTGGGGTTCAATTCTCAAATAAAATATACTCAAAATGTAGGAAAAAGAAAAAGATTACATTTCTACCCACTCAGTCAATCTATAAGGCTTAAAATTGACAAGTATCATAAATGATCACCTGGGAAATATGATTTAGACCAAAATTTTTTTTTTTTTTTTTTTTTTTACTTGCCTGGTGTTGGATTTTAAGTTACAATCCTCAAGGGCTCATTCTCACTTGCAGGGCTCTCTGAATAGCAATCTGAATACAAATCACTCAGAGAGAATTAAACAATGTCAACCCTCTACAGCCCTGGCCAAAAGTTTGAGATCGGGGCTCTGTCCGAGTCTGACCATCACTTCCAGAACTCCTTGGTTTTCTATATACTGAAGATAGTTCTTAACCCCTTCCCTCCGGTGCCTCCCGGCCCTTTAAGAGTTTCAGAAGCCGGGAGGCGTGGCAGGTGTGGTTTAGGGATCATGTGACCGCCGCATCGTCACAGCGGCCACATGATCGGGAAAGGTCCCGATTGAAAGAGCAGACCGGGACCTTCCGCGAGTACCGGACATGTGTGCTGGGAGCGCGCAGGGCGCGTGCTCTCATCACGTTTTTTCTTACATGAACGCAAATGTGCGGCCGCTTGGCGTCTAGGCCCAGATGCCGGGAGGCCGCACATTTGTGTGCGGCCGGCGTAAAGGGGTTAATGACATTGGCTGTATGTTTAAGGTCCTTGTCCTGCTGCAAAATAAATTTGGGGCCAAAACGCACACCTCACTGATGGTATGGAATGATGGATAAGTATCTGAGTGCTGTGTGTGCACAAGCACTATCTGTACCTAGGATTGATGCTGGTTTGAAGCCAAAGGTTAGCTACACCAAATATTGATTTGATTTAGATTTTTCTTCTGTTCGCTTACTTTGCATTTTGTAAATTGTTAAAAACAAACAAAAAATATACACTGCTCAAAAAAAATTAAAAGGAACACTTTTTATTCAAAAGTATAGCATCAAGTCCATTAACTTCCCTAGCGGTCTGATTATGTCCATATTTCTGTGCTCAAAGCAGTACATTTTTTTGCATGGAAATATGTATTTTTTTTATTGTAGGCCTGTACTTTTTCGGAATACCTCACTGAAATCTGTCTGAACCAGAGTCTAGTAAACATCCCGGGTATGTTACAATTTGAAACACTAAATCATAAATTATAATTTAATAACTAATCAAAAAATATTATAATAATAAATTTAATGCAATATAATCAAACCAAAAACACTGAAATTTGAAAGTTCGCACATCACTGAGCAAGATCACAAAATCGTTTACTATCGCTGTTCTCTAGCTGGTCTAAAACTGATTTTGACCTAAAAGGGACACTTTTTGGACACCATGGACATTTCTCAGTTTCCAGGCAGAAAGAACAGTAAAAATGCAGGCAGGGCACAGGACAAAATGTATGTGAAATGGTTTGGTACAGTAATGTTTTACTATGTGATTTTAGTGTATTTAGTGAATGTCACTTTTTGTCATTTTTCAATATCCCACCGTTCCATCCCCGTACGTCTCGACGCTCGCAGGGGGCGGAACCCAGATGACAGATGCCGGCATCCGCCGGATTACATTGCTGGGGACACTGCAGGAAGGACATCACTGGAGCGCAGGACAAGGTAAGTGAAGAACAGATCCCGGAGCAGCGCCACATGGTAAGCCCGAGTGTAGCTCGGGGTTACCACTTGTGGTACTGAAACTTTACCCCAAGCTACACTCGGGAATACCGCCAGGGAGGCTACACTCCTGGGATATTAATCTGGTCAATTAAGTAGCAGAGGGGGTTGTTAATCGGTTTCAGCTGCTTTGGTGTTAATATTAACAACCGATGCACTAGATGGGCAACAATGAGACGACCCCCAAAATAGGAACCGTTTTGCAGGTGGAGGCCACATTTTTTTCCGTATTCATCTTTTCTGACCGTTTATCACTAGTTTTGCGTTTGGCTAGAGTCATTGTCACAACTGGTAGCATGAGGCGATACCTGGACCCTACAGAGGGTTGCACAAGCAGTCCAACTCTTCCAGGATGGCACTTCAGTACATGCCATTACCAGGTTTGCGGAGTCTCCCAGCACAGTCTCAAAAGCATGGAGGAGATCCCAGGAGGCAGGCAGTTACTCTAGGAGAGCTGGACAGGGCAGTAGAAGTCCTTAACCCATCAGCAGGACCGGTATCTGCTCTTTTGTGCAAGGAGGAACAGGATGAGCACTGCCAGAGCCCTACAAAAAGGACCTCCAGCAGACCATTGGTGTGAATGTCTCTGACCAAACAATCAGAAACAGACTTCATGAGGGTGGCCTGAGGGCCCGACATCCTCTAGTGGGCCTGTACTCACTGCCCGGCACCAAGGAGCTCGATTGGCATTGAACACCATTATTGGCAGGTCTGCCAATGAGAAAAGGTTCACCCTGAGCACATGTGACAGATGTAACAGGGTCTGGAGAAGCCGTGGAGAGCTTTATGCTTCCTGTAACATCGTTCAGCATGACCATTTTGCTGGTGGGTCAGTGATGGTCTGGGGAGGCATATTCATGGAGGGACGCACAGACCTCTACAGGCTAGACAATGGCATCCTGACTGCCATTAGGTATTGGGATGAAATCCTCGGACCTATTGTCAAGACAAGAAATTTTATTATCTATTGATATAGCAGGATGGGCATGTTGAATCCATGAAGTCCATATTTTAAGGAATCTCTTGTGTGTATCTGAAAGGATGCTAGAAAGTTATTCATTAACCAGGAAAAAAAATCTAGGGGACGATGGACTTCCCAAAGGATATGAAGTGTTGTTTCCAGGCTTTTGCTATGGTTTGTTTAGCTGCCAATAGTTCGTATGTAGCCAACTTAAATTGGTGTTCTGAAAGGCCTGGGGGTTTGAGGTGGAGAAGGACATGCCAAGGGTCCATAGGGAAAGGGCAAGTTAATAACGAGTGCAAGATTTTAAAGGACAAGAACCAAGAGAGCATAGGGAATGTCCACCATGTATGTCGGACATTCCCAGAGTAGTACAGTCTCAGAAACAGGCACCAGGACAGACAGAATGAAGGTGCAATAGGCAGGATGGGACCAAGTACTATCTTGTAACAGTTTAAAAGGCTGATTCCATTGAAAGAATATTGATAGAGCATGAGGTCAGGGTTGTCCATATCTGTGACTAACAGCCCATATATTTGGTGCTTTTCAGGTCCTTTTCCCACGTGGAAACTTAAGTGTGATTATTAGGATGTCAAAGATTGGTCAACTGTGAATAGAGAATAGAAATAAGTTTGGGGGAAAGGGGCATCCGATGACAAGTATGTTCAAATAAGGATAACTGAGGCGTCGGGTCTTTGTCTGTGAGGGTCGAAGTCACCCAATGTCTCATTTGTAAAAATAGAAAAAAGTTCAGTGTGGGGGGCTTGATATTTATCCCTTATTTCCGCCCAGGTGTAAGCAGAACGACCAGTGAGGAAAGAGTGGACACACTGAAGTTTGTCGGAAACCCACCAATGGAAGGCGCTGGGGGACCCGAGTACAGGAAGAAACAGAGGGTTGCCTAAGAGGGGGAGAAGTGGTAAATGAGAGGATATTAGACCACTAGAGTATTTAGTGGCGTCCCGTATGCACAATAAGTGGGCCATTAGAGGGCTGATATTTGTGGACCTAGATCCCGGAGGGAGCCATAAAAGTGAGCTAGGGGAAAGTGGGTAGCAAGAGTAATTCCAAAGTGAGGGGCCTGCTGTGCTGCATATAAAGAAGTAAGATGCGATTTAAGCTGCCATATAGTTTTTGGAAAAGTTAGGAACTCCTACATCTCGTTTCCCGGTGTAGAAGCATAGTGTGTTTGGCGACCCAAGGTCTCTTGTGAGCCCAGATCAAGTGTAGAGGATAATTTTGAAATGACTACAGGGTGCAAGAGGGGACTGGGATAGGGAGGATGCAGAATAAGTATAGGAGCTTTGGAAGAATAGTCATCCTGAGTTGATTCTACCAATCCACGCGAGGGTCTGGCGAGACCAAGACGTAAGGTTTTAAGAGAACGGAAAAGTTCTGTTTCATTGAATTGATTTCTGCCTCAGGGAGAGATGTTGAGGGCCAATGATTTGTCCTTGTTTTCTACTAAGCCAGAGATATTGGAAAAGCGGGCGAGGATGGAAAAAAGGGTAGGTAGTGTACTATGTGGTTGGTTCAAAGTCAAAAGCAGGTCATCCACAAATGCGCTGACTGATGGGCAACCATAACCCCTTTGATATCGGGGTTTGATTTGATGAGATGTAGTAGGGGCTCCCAAGACCAAAATAAAAAGTATTGGGGAAAGAGGACATCCCTGGCGTGTTACCCTGTGGATGGGGAGAGGGGAAGATTGTCGAGAAAGATAGCGAATTGGGGCAGAGAGTCCTCGATAAAGAGCCCTCAACCAGGATGTGAAAGCAGTTGGGAATCCTCATTTTTCCAAGACATAATGCATATACTCCCAAGACAGAAAGTCAAATGCCTTGTGTATAGCTAGACCTAAAAGCATACTGGGGGTTCTATTTTGATGCAACAAGTGGATAAGATTGCTGACTTTGCAAGTATTGTCAGAGGCCTGCCGAAAGGGGACAAAGCCTCCTTGATCTTTATGGATAAGGTGATGCAAGAAAAAATTAATTCTGGTAGCGAGAATTTTGGCGAGGATTTTAATGTCAACATTCAACAGGGAGATGGGTCGAAAGTTATGGTGATTCTAAGAGTCTTTCCCAGGTTTTGGGAACATCAATAATTGAGCAGCCGTGACTGATGGGTGCAGGTCCAAGTGGGAATGTAGGTGGTTGAAAAAGTTAGCCAAATGGGGAGCGAGGGTTTTCGGAATTTTTTTTTGTAATATAATGCCGAGAATTCATCAGGTCCAGGAGTCTTTTGCGTCTTAAGTGTTTTGATTGCTGCAAGGACCTCTAACACTTCCCAACTTTATGCTGTTTCGATAACTGCAACTATGGTATGTGCTTCAAATGCAATTTGCCTCTGGAATTCCTGTCTTATCAGTAGTGGAAGTGTTATATAGATTGGAGACCAATTTACAGGATTCCTCATCATGTAATATCCTGTATGGCCTTAAAAATCAGTGGGAACCAGATACTGGGGCATCAGAAGATGAGGAGTGAAGTTCTGGAGAATTGTAAAAAAAAACTGACCGCCTGACTCAATTAAACATAGTGTATATTTAACCACTTGTGTACAGGGCACTTATACCCCCCTTCCTGCCCAGGCCAATTTTCAGCTTTCAGTGCTATTGCACTTTGAATAACAATTGCGTGGTCATGCAACACTGTACCCATATGAACTTTTTATCTCTTTTTCACACAAATAGAGCTTTCTTTTGGTGGTATTTAATCGCCACTGGGTGTTTTATTTCTGGTGCCATAAACAATCAAAGAGCAAAAAAATTACAAAAAAGAAAAGTTTTTCTGTGTTTCGATTATAAAATTTTGCAAACAGGTAATTTTTCTCCTTCACTGATGTGCATTGATGAAGCTGCAGCGATAGGTAGCACTGATATGCAGCAATGATGGGCACTGACAGGTGGCACTGCTGGGTACAGGTGGGTGGCACTGCTAGGCACTGATGGGCACAAGTGAGTGGCATTGCTGGGCACTGATGTGATCAGTGCCGATCTGTTTTTTGACAATTGCCAGTTATCGGCAGTACTTTCCTAATGCTGTGACAGCGTGAGGAAAGTGCAGCCAATAACCGGCAACTGCATTTACCCGGTGATCTGCTGTGTCATTGGACCCAGCTGATCACAAGGTAAAAAGCCACAGTGATTGGGCTTTTACCACATCACGGAGATCACCGGGTGCACGCTGTAGCTGTCATTTGGCTATCGTGCGGTGAACAACCGTGGTATAGCCGTCATTCGGCTATCGCACGGTTCAAAAGTGGTTAAGTCCAACTAGGTTGGTTAAGTTCCAATCCACCCATAGTCCTCATTGTCCTGAAATAATCTAACAACCTGGAACTTTCAGCCATTCTGTCACGAATTGTCCTCAGATGCAGGGCTTTTTTTTGGGAACAGATTATACAATTCCTCCATGATCAAATGGGTTCTCACCTAACACTACGACCAAGCCTCTGTTTGTTGGGACTACTCCCAGACCCTGATAGTGACAAAAATATGACGTTTTTATATGGGAAACCTTGTTTGCTGTTTACAAACTTGATGCCAATCATTGGCTACAGGCCTTACCTCCATCATTTTCAGAATTGACTGCAATAGTTAATGTTACCTTACCCCTTAAGAAATTGGTGTATGTGTACACACACACACACACGTACACACACACGTACACACACACTAAAATAAGGGATAGGTGGCTGCAAGCTCCAGCCACATGTTCTTAACTGGTACTGTATAAACATGAGTGTTTCTATCTGGGAGTGTGGTTTGTTTTTTTGTAACCTGATGTAGTTGAGCTCCGTGAAAAGCACTATGCTGTTGTCACTGCAGGGAAGTGGTCTTAGCGATCATATGTATGTACCACATGCTGATATAGATGCAGGGCTTTTAAAGATACAGGCATAAGTTCTCACTGCTTGAACTGTGTGCATGGTGATATTTTTGTGATAATGTAGACCAGGAGTAGGCAACCTTTCAGAGGTTGAGGTCTATCTGGACAATATAGAGTAAAGCAAAGATCCCCCTGGGGGGTTCTAGGCGGCCCTCCTAAAAAAAAAAAAACCCATCAGCTCCCCCACAGTAGTGACCTGCACTGCCCAATGCAGTGTACTCTGCCGCCTTTTCATCACCTCCGCACTGTAGTGTCCTCTGCCCCCCCCCCCACAGTAGTGTCTTGCACCCCCAATGCTGTGTCCTTTGCCCCCCTCCCACCACAGTAGTGTCCTCTACCCCCAAAAGCAGTGTTCTCTGCTCCCCTTTACACCACATCCCCACCCACTGTCGTATCCTTTGCCCCTATCTCCCCTAGTAGTGTCCTGTACCCCCCAAACCATCACCACCCCCCACTGTGTAGTGTTCTCTGCCCTGCCCCATAGCAGTGTCCCCTGCCCCCAAGTATCCTCTTCTGCCTCCCCATCCCCTGTCTTTTTCGCATCAAATTCCCCCCCCCCCCACCCCCCACTATAGTTTACTCTGCCTACCTGTCAGCGGGTGTAGAGCAGAGTGGAAATCAGAAGACAACACAGTGCTGGGTGTAAGGTGGCAGCAGGAGCTGCCAAGCTGGTGATGGGTTGTCAGGACAGCCTAGCAACCAATCACTGAGCAGCTTCCACCCCCAACTCCACCCTTTATCCAGCACTATGCTGCCTCCTCCTCTCCGCACTGCCTGTAACATGAGAGCGAAGGAAGATGGGGGGAGGCAGAACAGCAGTCACGAACAACCTGTTGGCTCCCCGCGGCTGACAGGTTGCTGACCCACGATGTAGACTATTTGCTATGTACTTAACATTTCCAAGGGCCAACTGGTTGTTGTTCGGTTGTTCTATTTCTGGACCATGTATGTAGCATTTTCTATGCTGTACCTACATTAATAAAATGTTGTGTCTCTACGTATTAATGTCGCTCAATTAAAAAAAAAAAAAAAAAAAAAAAAACCACAACCCCACGTACGACTTATGTAGGAGGATTTGTTTCATCTCTGTTTATCACCTGAGGGTCATCTCTTCACTCGGTGTTTGTGAGTGTTAGCAACCACTTTAACACTCTTATTTCTGAAATCATTCTTAATTTACAGCAATTTTTCACACCTGCCTAATACTTTTGCACAGTACTGTACATTTATACTGTAGAAGTATGCCTTAAGGAAACTAGTAATTTTGGACCAATTACACTTTTTTAAAATATCAGAATTCTTAAACTTTTATACATTTTTTGCCCTACATACAAAATAATTATTTAACAATAAAATATCAGGTACACACATATGGGTTTCATAGATCTTTATGTATTCTCTAAAGGCAGGATTTGGCCTTTTTTTGTGCATAAATCCTAAAAAGAGAACACAAATTTTTTTTTAGACAACAGTCCTTTAGGCAGTTTTTAATTAAAAATCCATAGGGAGCTTCAGAGAGCAGCAAGTGATTGGGATTGAGCAGGGATGAATCACTCCATCCATAAGTAACTCAGTTACCAATGTAAATTTGAGCTCGAGATACTGAGCTCCATATATAGGTTTTTCATCTTTTTTACCTCAGCTTCAAAAGTAAACCTGCTTTATATACAATAACACATTGAACCAAATAAAGAAAAAAGGTTTGGTCCTCACACAAATACTGAGTGAAAATGTATGCAAAAGCACTTTACTTTTCCTTCAACAGCACATTGTCTCTCACTAATAACATACCGTCTGCTGTTGACATCAGAAGACTCGTGTTGAGACAAAGGCCAGACATCTTCAAGAAAGAGCTCACCCTTCTTGTAAGCCACACGTGCCAGCGGCGTTAACCAGGAGAAAGTCATGAAGGAAAACAGTCCTGCATTATCCACTGGATGCTGGTGTCTGTTAGAGAATAAAGTTGAATGAAAGCAACAGAATAGTAAGAAGTACTTCTGCCATGAACTAAAAAAAGATTCCAATTTAATCTACACAGAAGAAACCACAGCCCATTCCATCTTAGAGAAAGAAATTCAGATACATTTTTGCAGGAACATGATTTTTTTTATCATAAAACAGATCAAACTACAAAGTAATAAACACTTACTTCGACGTAAGCCGAAAGGGTTTAAGTAGATGCAACCCATAGTGATATTTGCTGTTATGGTGATGCTCACTCAGTATCTGCAAGTTGGAGTGCATGGAGATGTCCAAGGGAAGACCTTCTGCTCGTGCAGCTGTCTCCAAAGCATCCTGGCAATCCACAAGCTTTAAATTGAAACCACATTAAAACAGAATGAATTAGAACAAAGTTCAACCCATGTGTTGACTAAATCAAGTATCAGTGTAGGTGCCCGCATGCCATTCATGCCAGGCTCTCTTCTAGAGCCCTGCCACACATTCTATTCAAATAACTTTCTGTAATTCGGCATAAGCACACAAGTGGAAAAAAGGATTTAGGGTCTTTGAATATTAAAAGAACACTCAAACAAGTTTGAAACGTTTATGCAAAGTCCTTTAAAGTGGAGTCTATTGATAATTTTGGGTCATTATTTTTTCCCATTTCACTGGCGCACAAGTTGGGAGGCCTGACACATCTGGTATCGATTTACAACACACAGTCATCTTTTAAACAACATTCTAAAGATGATCTTTCCAGTCTACTGGGCATCTGCTTTCAGAAACGATATAGTCCCAAAAATAAAAATGCATAATTTACTGTGTGCAAAAAATGAATAAAGTGCTTCTTAGGGGAAGTGGTTAAAAAGATAAAAATATAAAAAACAGCTTTTGCTGCAATACAGAATTTGAAATCAGAGATTTTTCCCCTGCAGTACTTTTTCCTGCTGCTAGATGTTCTTACTCTGATGGCCAGCATCATTCAACCCACTTCCTCTGAGTTCCTGAATTGTTTTGGACCCACCCCAGCTTGTGACTGGACAGTGAAAGGAGAAGCAGATTAGTGATGCACTTGCCTCTGTCACTGCATTCTCTTACTAATCAGCATGTCTCTTGTTGGCACATACACATATCCTTGTGCTGTTTCTTGCCATCTTTTCACATTCTTGCCCTGCTGTTCACTGACAGCAGAAGGCTGGTATAACAAGTCAAATGTAGGTACTTATACTGATTGCATTTGTTTTACACTTAATGATGCATTAATGATTACAGAGCTGCATTCATTTGTGACTAACTTTCAGGCTATACAACTTGTAGTAAGAATATTGCTGTATTAATGAGCTTTGTAAGCAAACATTCCTAAAGAAACTATAGACATTCATCATATAAAAGGTGCTGGAAAACCATTGGCAAAAAAATCATACACACAGAAAACATAAAATTACACATTGGAAACCGGTTCCTCTACTGAAGTGCACAAATAAAAAAAAAAAAAAAAAGTAAAAATCGTTTCCAAATATAAAATGGTAGACATACACAGACATAGAAACTGTATATCAAGTGAAAGGCTAAATGGTCATTGCTGAATGTGTCATCTAAGTGCTGTTTTTATGATACTTTACAATGAAAAAACATTGCATTGCATTAGGATTCCATTATAATGGCAAATCCAGAGAGAATTACTGTCAAATCAGACTCTGAGCTTCTGCAATGTAAAAATAGACAAGGATCCTTCCTCCTCCGGTACATTTTGTATTAATGAGTTTTTTAAATCCAGATATCAATAACTAGCTCTTAAAATCTGGTGAGGCAGACATCAGTACATTTTATCACTTTATAGATGCAGGAACTTCAAATGGAAAAAAATGTTATGTCAAACAGCAAGTATGGGTAAATAGGATCAAACCAGGCCACGTACTAACCAAATGTTACAGAATCCTCAAATACTTCTTCTGAAACAGTGTGCCCTGGAGTCCTACTACCCTCCGTTTTCACTTCCATGTTTGCCATGGCTGTAGAAGTGCCTCTGAGAAGCTCACTGGTACCTCTGCTTCACCAATGGCTGGACTCCAAGGAACATAAGGGAACTATTTCGGAGGTTCCCATCATGCAAACCAAAAGCTTTGCTATGCATTTAGTATAGATTCCCTATAAACAATACAAAGCCTAATTTTTTATTTTTAAATTGTACCTAACCCCAAAAACAAAAATGTAGCGTATTGCAATTTATCAGTGCTTAGATGTGATGGCTGCATTAGCTACCTTTTATTAGGATACATTTCCCCTAGTTTTTTTTTACCTAGGAAATGACACTTCCTGTACCTTCATGTCTACATTCTTTTCTCCATTGTATCTATGGGGGGCAGCCATGTTTGTTGGCAGTCATACAGACTGGACTTCAAACATGCCTGATTTTGTTCATTTCCATTACATAGGGGATTGATGGGACTAATCCCCTATGTAATGGAAGGCAGGGCAAGCTGACCTTGTGTTAGGGGTAAGATCAAAAGGTTAACATTCAATATGTTTATGTTTTATTTTCTCAATTTCTAAATTGCAGAATTACATGAAAGGCCTTTGGAGAAAAAAAGAAGAATTTTCTTTACTTATTGAAAATGTTTTTTAGCCTGCATAAAGGAAAACTAATGCAGTTACTAATCTAAGGACTAGTAAACTGCAATATATTACATTTTTGTTTTAGGTTTGATAGGTTTAAGGTTCCATGCACACTAGTATATTTTTAAGCTCCTAGAAGCGATCAGCATTTTATTTTCTGCTTCTAGAAGCTAAATAGTGTTATTCTATGTGTCCATGCACACTATTTAGGTTACTATGGTTTTTCAAGCTTCAGCATTCAGGAAAAAATGTTTTTGTAGAATTTTTGGGAGCGTATTTCCAGCAGAAATAAAACGCTAAACACTCCTAAAAGCTTTCTTCTAGCTTTTTTTCCTACATGTACTGTAAAAACGCTAATTGTTTACACTCCTAAACACTACTACAAGCGGGCACAAACAGTATTGCCAGCATTTTTCCTCCAACTTTTATTTCTAGTGTTTCTTGAGCTTGTAAAAAATGCTAGTGTGCATGGAAACTAAACCTCCATTAAAATTGATATCCCCACTGATGAAGTAAATATTCATCTTACAATGCCAAGCTTGCTCAAAACCATGTGATTGGTGTTGTAACTAACTGCGTGACCTTCTGCTACTTCAGCAGAAAATATAAAGCAATGCAGAAATGAAAATGCCTGTCTAGACTAGAAATGTGTTTAAAAGGAAGTGAAGACTGGTTTAAAGAAAAGTTTACTCACAATTTCTAGACTATCCAGCAGCAGTAAAGCCCAAGCTAAGCATTTATAGCTCATCCTTCAGTCAACTCTGCATACACCAAATATAAAAGCCACCCAAGACTACTGGTTGACTAAGAAAAAGGAACAATGGATGGAAAAAAAAAAAATGTATATATGTAAAATTTAATTGTTAACCACTTCCAGTCCGGACACTTTTTACCCCCTTCCTGTCCAGGCCGATTTTCAGCTTTCAGTGATATACTTTGAATGACAATTGCGCGGTCATGCAACACTGTACCCATATGAATTTTTTTTGCATTGTTTTGAGACAGATAAAGCTTTATTTTGGTGGTATTTATTCACCGCTGGGATTTTAATTTTTTTTTTTGCTATGTAAATGAAAAAGTCCCAAAATTTTGAAAAAAAAGTGTTTTTCTTATAATATATTTTGCAAATAAATATTATTTCATCATAAATCTTGGCCAAAATGTATTCGGTTATCTTTTTAGTAAAAAAAAAAAAAAAGCCCAAATTAGTTTATAACCAAAAGTTATAATTTTTAAACTTTTTTTTATTATTTATGTTTTGTTTTTTTTTTTACATTCGGTCACCCTAGCAGTGCAGTGTTACCATGGTGACACTATACTACTTGTGGTGGGTGATGAAGATTTTTTTTTTTTTTTTTTTTTTTTTTTTTTTTTTTTTTTTACACGGTTTGCTTTTACACCCATAAAGGCTGTAAAAGCAATCATTTCTCCTTCTCTCTGGCTGCATTCTTGCAGCCATTGAGAACTACTGTGTGAGCTGTGATTGGTCACAGCTTGTCACAAGGTACAAGGCTGTTGTGAACAGCCTTGTACCATGTGACCTCTGCGATCATTCACAGATTTCACACGTAGTAAGCAATGATGTCAGAAGTGACATCTTGCCTACTACTTTGCATGTGATCACGGATTGGCCAATCAGTGATCACATGATCGCGACCTCGCACAGAGGTCCCGTCCAACGATCGGTGGTCCACTGTGTCCGGAGGACACAGCAGGCACCAGATCGCGGTGCTGCATGCTCCCAGGGAGCGTGCACAAGCAGGGTGCGGGGAGGCCATTTATAAATGGCCACCCGACCCTGCACTGCCACCGCCGGCCGTTTATATATATGGGCCGGATGGGAGGGGTTAAATACTTCAATTTGAAAGAGCTGCAGCAGGAATGAAGACCAGACAGAAGCAAGGAGGACATGTGAATGCACCAGGTGGTGTCTTTGTTTCACACCAGGGTAACAGGAAAGGTCACTTTATTTTTCCACAAAAAGGAAAAAATCTAGGGATGCACCAAAATTTCAGCAGCCGAAACATATCGGCCGCAAATAGCCAGAATTTTGCTGATCGGAAAATATTTTAGCTGATATAGGTGCCGATAGGGGGCTGTGTAGAAAGGCAGGAGAGAAGCAAGTTGATCTTGATACACTGAGCTATTGCTAAAAGGAAAGGGGCAGTGGTCACCCAGTGACATTACCAAGTGACCCCACCCCTTAGTTTCCTTTAGCAGAGGGGGAGAATGACAGCTCATTCCTGCAGCTATAGTGAAGGGGAAAAAAGCCAGTAATTACATTTAAAAATCAGCATGGTTTTTAAATGTAATTATTGGCTTTTTTTTTTTTCTTTACTATAGATCCAAGAATGAGCTGTCATTCTCCTGGCAGCTAAGGAAATCTAAGGGGTGGGGTCACCCAGTGACATTACCCAGTGACCCCGCCCCTTAGTTCCCCTTTGCAGCAGGGAGAATGACAGCTCATTCTTGAAGCTATAGTGAAAAAAAAAAAAGCCTGTAATTACATTTAAAAACTGGCAGTGACATAAAGGGGCAGCCAGTGAGGAAGCATGAGTGTATATATTGCTCCCTCACTATATACACTGCTCCTCTCCTGCCCTGTCTTTGAACACACTGACTCCCCCACCCCCTACAAACAGGACCTGTCATTCATATGCTATCACATAGGGGACTATTGGTCCTCAATGAGATGGCAATAAAATCATAAATTAAAAAAATTTATAAAAATACACATTAAAAGTTTTAAAAAA